AGTGTACATAACCGCACTATAATATATAACCAGATGCATGTGAACAAATGTTCAGACTACTCAACCAGTGCTTTTATCGCCCTCGTCACTTCATAAGTTTCCCATGTCGTCCGCGTGTGATATAAATATGCAGAGTGCAAGTAACATATTCAAGTTGTGTTTGACAACCGAGAGACACGCCACTTTCACTGTACTTGTGTTGATCATTCATACACCTATATTTATATACATAATTGCACAAAACAAATATACACATATACACATAGATGTACACACATGTATGTATACATTTCATAAGTGCGTGTGTGTCTCATACATATATGCATGTTGTACCTCGCATGTACTGTTCTTGCCCTTCCACATAGTCTCTGTGCTATCCGCCTCCAGGAGCGACACAACTGTCCCCACTTTCAGTGAGATCTCTCCCGGTTGCCTAGCAACGAACTCTGTTAGAACTATGGCTGCGCCAATTGCCGTGCAGTTGTTACTTTGTGAGATGGACGAGAGGGAATTGCGAGACCCATTGAAAGGCCCCGGTTTCCGTCGAGTTTCCGTCTGGACGGTGCAATGTGTATAAAAACATGAGGATTATTTGGCACGTATTTGAGAAACGTTCATATGTACGAAATTAAAGAGGTATATTAGCATGAACCCATGAGACGGTATCCACGGAATTGATTGTGAAACTTAAAAATCTAAACTATGCGGATTCGTACATATGAAAAGCCAATGGCCATCGGATATTCGCCTATCTTTCAACTGTGTCATACGATTCAGAAAGAAATCTATTTATATTCTGAGCGTGGGAGTTGCAATTCGGATCAACCATATCCAGCTATCGCACCCAACCCAACAGAATGGCCTTGCCTACTGATCCCCCCCACAATACAAAAGTCCCCAACACCAGGCATTCGCCCGTGTGAGTAGAGTGTAGGTAACGCAGAACGGCTGTCACGTGCTACAGCACGTTTTAGCGATTTATCTCACACCTACGTCGGATTTAGGGTTTCGGGTTTAGGGTTTTTATTTCACAATATGTACCTACCTCGGTTGCTTTTACAGCGGTTGCTTCGCTTTCATCATCGGCCGTCCCGCTTTGATCCCGTAATGTGACGCTGTGCTCAATGGTGGGTCTGTTGTAGTGTCGTGACTTGCGTTTCGCGCTCGATTTGGGCGCCTCGATATCTATAAATAGAACAGTTGAAGGGCATCTACATTAGTGACAATCCCAGGCTGGCGAGAGTGGGTTATATATTGTTTGTATACAGATTCACCAAATCTAATCTACCAAAAGTGCTACTACCAGGAATGCTATAGTACAATATATACATATACAAGATTTATACGCTATATATAATATACGTACATTGCAAGGTGGCACAAGATGCAGCAAAAGTTATTATATTGTAGTATATATATATATATATATATATATATATATATATATATATATATATATATCCGTAAACGGGACTACATATACAATCACAGCCAATAGTATATATATATACAGTCTAACATATCTCCACTAAGAATTATATAAAACCCCTAAATATGCTCAATACCACTCACTCTTTACTGGGGGTGGGCATATTTTCTCGATAAGGCGGATGCATGACGCAGGCACAAGCCCTGTCTGCAGATTGGATTTGACGAGCCACAACTGGTCGAACTCATCTTCCCGCATGTCTATGACGGCGATCTGCAGAAGTGAAGGCCATTTTATCATAAATATATATATGTGTGTGTGTGTGTGTGTGTGTGTATGTGTGTGTGTGTGCTAGTCCAACTAGAGATATAGGTTCTAATTGTCAACCTGGCGTGAAGTCAAAGTCATTATGATGTATATTATATATATATATATATATATATATCTTTATGTCTATATACAAATCCCTTTCATTTGTATATCCAGTACTCCTATGTGGAGCTCGTAATGTTGCGGTTAGAAACCAGGGTTTTTTGAGTGGATGCCGACGACTTTGAACCCGTATATATATATATATATATATATTATGACATATATATATATTGTAATACATATATATTGTAATATATATATATTGTAATATATATATATTGTAATGTATATATATTGTAATATATATATATTGTAATATATATATATCGACCTTTTTACGCCACATGATATTCATGTACAACAAATAAACACATGCCTTTATACCTGCATTTGAATATCTATGGCTCTGATCTCCTTCGAAAAATATATAAAGTCAGTCAAGGATAGGTAAAACAAATACACAATAATCTTGTTTGTATGTGCATGTACCTTTCCTTTCGTACTAAAAGTATGTAATGTTAAAGAATGTACATATATTTTTATACATATATACGCTTTATCCTTGGGTGAATACTCATAGTATTATAGTCTCCGATAAAATTCGGATACGGAAATGAATCTGTTACAACATACACGTACACATAGAGCCACCTACCTTGTCAGAGCCTCGATGGTTCAGAAATAAACTTGTTTATATGCACATAAACCTACTCATAGCAACAGTACCGGGTCGCCAACTGAAAGGTTCAGTTTTTCGGTAGTATCTACGGCTGTACAACATAACAAACTTGGTTTATGCTCACATACATATACCCTATTATGCACCTACCTGGTCGCCGACTCGAATGTTTAGTTCTTTGGTAGCATCTACGGCCGTGTGAGGGAGCACAGCGCGGCCTGCAAATGGGCGTCAGTGGTAGTGGCGATGGTAGTGTTAGACTAGTTTCAAATTAGTGTTCAAACTGCACCTTGTGTTGTCAAATTAGTGCGAAATAGTTGCAACACCAATCCGAGCGTGTGCTGTGATACGTTTTCACTATATATATTACAACTCGATATGTTAATCAGTGAAATAATAGTTTATGTAGCATATACACACGTATGTAGTACATGCACATATATCTGGTAGAAGCACATTTATGTAGTATATATACATTTATGTAGTACAAATATATTTATGTGGTACCAATATATCTATCTAGTTATACACATTTATACAGTACATACACATTTATATAGTATATATACATGCGATATATATACATTCACGTAATATATATACATTTATGTAGTATATACACATTTATGTAGTATATATACATACAATATATATACATTCACGTAATACATATACATTTATGTAGTATGTACACATTTATGCAGTACAAACACATTTATGTAGTATATATACATGCAATATGTACATTCTCGTAATATATATACATTTATGTAGTATATATAAATGCAATATATATACATTCACGTAATATATATACATTTATGTAGTATATACACATTTATGCAGTACATACACATTTATACAGTATATGCGCACGCTCCCAAATACAGGCATAACTTAACAAACACTCACAGCACTCCCCTTCCAATGCTGTTACAGTTCTAGTGTATAGGACTACCTACCAAATGCAAAGGCCGGGATGTTTATAGTAGAGGTACCCGTTATCTTATCAGTGATCATCTGACCTTTCTCGTCTAGTGCAAGCCAGGACAAGATGACCCCACACCCCACCACCGGGCCAGGCGGAGCCAGTAGACACGACAACCGCTCCATGTACGCGTGCTAAACATAGAACAGGTGTGATATAAAAATAATAGATGTGATAAAAATAGAATAGATGTGATAAAAATATAATAGATGTGATAAAAATATAATAGATGTGATAAAAATATAATAGATGTGATAAAAAATAATAGAAACTGTGAGTTTATAGACACGTTTTGAAATGTCTCACACCCCACTACAGGGCCAGGAGGATAGAGAAGACACGACAACCGCTCCATGAACGATAGACAAAGATACAACTCGATGTGATATTAATACAAAGTGACAGACTAAATCAACTACTTCAGGAAGACGCTACAGCCGCTCTATATAGACGCGGTAGAATTACAATCGAAAACATATTTAGTAGTATAAATACAGACAAAGTGTATATATAAATATATATATATATATGTATATATATATATATATATATATATATATATATATATATATGTATGTATGTGTATATATAAGTATGTATGTATGTGTATATATACGTGTGTGTGTGTGTGTGTGTGTGTGTGTGTGTGCATGTGTGTGCAAACGTATAACTAATAAAAATATACACACCAATATGGTTCGTGTCTCCTGGAAATCATGCGTGTTGGCTGTAGTTGTGCATTTCAGAG